AAATCTATGTCATGAAAATGATAAAGACCACAATTTTTCATGAAGTAATTGTGCCACAAACCAGTGTTTTTCCCTGTATTGAAGTGGTCTTACATACAAAACGGAAACAACAATTGTGCAAATGTGAAACTAAAGTCCAAAAACCAGAATGGTTAGTGTAACTACAAGGGCTCAAGCATTTACAGTATCTATGGTTTTATTAACAGGTTAATTATGAGTGGTGTAGTTGTGTAGTTTCTAGTTTTCTAGTTGTGGTACAAATGAGGAAGCCAATTCCTAAAACCAGAATGCCAAATGAATGTGCATCCCCAAGAAAAGAAAGTAAAAGTATTTGAAGGTTTCCTACCATGATAATTCATGTACAACTTTCTTGGACAGTCATTTTTTATTTCAATCAATGCTGACAGGTCAGATGCTAACAGTTAAATTAACCCAGTAGTTAATGTAGAGGTGGAAATATGCAACATTTAAAAAATATTTATAGATAAATGGTTGATCTGTAATGGGCAGATTTTCACTTTATCACATATGACTACCACAGTCACATTATATCACTTTCTACCTGTCTCTGGTTTTACTCTAGAACAAAGTAGTTAATAACAGATTATAGTTACTAAAGTTAAGTTATAAGTTACTCTTTCCAGAAATGTCAATTTTTCAGTGTCAAGGTGCCCCTATGTCAACTGTTGTTTAATGATGATGAATTTCACAAATGCCCTGATGTCTGTCCCATTTCCACATTCTTTTGAGAGATTGTTACGATTTTTATTAAAGCGGTTGAAGACAAAAGGTAATTTTCCCACTTTAATAGGAGCAGTTTTGACTACTTGCTAAGTAATAGATTAGTAGAGTGTATAGTGGCTTCTTTAAAGAGGCAGTGTTCACTGTCAGTGCTGTTCTCTCTCATTTCTCACATCCATTCATTAGCAGTGCTATTAGCTTGGCCTACATTTTCTAGTACAACGTCTCATTAAATGAATAGTACGATGAATAGAAACAACATTTCTAATAAAATGATTCAGCAAAAGATCTCAGGAATATATTTTTATCCCAGTTGCTTTTTAATTGGATGTTTGAGGGTATTTCCCAACAGTATAACAAAAACCATACAAAGTACACATTAATGTTATTTCTTTTCTCACATGCTAAAAACATAAAATACTTTAAGTGAACATAAATGTAGTTGTAAGGAGAGAAGGCTCATCTAATTAACCTGGTAAAGAGCTGCTAATAGATCAGAAATGCTGTAAATATTCAAATAGATAAATATGAAAAGATATGTAATGATTAAGGTCAGACACAGCAGACACACAAGATCTGTAATTAAATTAAAGTTGTAAGAAATGCAAGTGACAGCCATGTCTCACCCAGTGAAAGTAAAACTTGAAATGCAAGCCTCAGTCTAAATTAAAGTGAAAATAATTTGAAATTAGCATAAAAGCCTTACTGATGTTTTACTACCTACTAACAATTAAGTTTACCATGTAGACCAAAATGTTCATACCCTATCATATGCTCTTATGCATACAGTATGCTATGCTCTTGCTCTTATGCATTACTCTAGTTTTATTCAAAAACTCTAACAAGGTAAATAAGGCATTTTTTTCAGACAAAATAGTCATCTAGAATCCTATTGCCAGATGCATTAGGTGATTTCTAATTTTGTTCCTATTAAATTAATGTTCCATAGCCTTACATATAAGTACAGTAACTGTTTGTTTTGGTAACCTTTTTATGGATGAATAGTTTTCCAGTCAGTGAGTATTGCACCTGTTGCTCTGTTTCGAGTGACTGCTGGAAGAGTTTTGTTATGAATAACATTTATTTTTTTAGTACAACTTATAAAACACTACTAGACACTGAAATATTGTTAATGTTAAGTGCCTGTAGTGCTTGTAACACATCTGCCTCTTCTGTACTTATATTATTTCCCTCAATCTGAGACATACTGTCAATATCTTCCGTAGCAAACTTTTGTGACGTTTTTATTTGATACATCAGCTATTTCAGTTTTTATTCAATCTGCAGATAGGGAGATTGCACAGTGACAGAACCCTTCATCATAGAAACATTCTGAAAAATCAAAAGCAGACACAATTGCTTAAATATACCTTATTTGCAGTCATAAAGCCTGTCCATTTTACAAAGAACTATCCATTTGACCAGATTTTGTTACTATTCATTATTTTAACTTGGGAAACCAGTAAAGCACATGCTGTCCTCTCCCCTTCCATTTACACTTCCTTGTTTTTACTTTCCTTTAATTCCTTGTTAGTACGTCTGTCTTTCTCATGCTTGTTAGTGTGTTAGGTTCTGCGAGTTTAAGGTTAAGTGTTCAGCCTGTACAGCCCGAGCTTTTTTCGCCTTCATTGTCCAAAAGCTTTCCATTTACATACATACTTTCCATCCCATTCATCCTTTACTCTACTGCATATTTACTTTTGTAACACAGAAAAACGTATTTATTTAATTTATTATTTATTTTATCCTCAATTTTAATGCTCTTTTCTCACTTGTTATTCATTTTGGAAATTGTTTTCTCTACAGATTTTCCTAATTAGATTTGTGTTAATAATTTCTGTCGTGTACACACGAACACAACCGTCATGTGTCATGTTTTTCATTATTATCACTGACCGAATTCAAAATCAGTACAGATAGTAGTGTAGTGTAGTTGTATAGCCCAACAGTGTCAGATCCCTTGTGCTCTTTCCTGACCTTGTTAACTCATCACTCTTACTTTTGGTTGAATAATGCAACATATTGAATATTTAAATTGCTCTATTTGCATATTCTGCTGAGTGAACCCACAATGTATCTTAACTACCTTGCACTCAATGAGTTTCGGGAACGTGAGCAATCTACTGTATATGACCATGACAGACAGTAAATGGGTCTACAAACTACAGTAACAGTGTCAGCTTGAGTCATGTTTCCTGATTGTGACAAGATCAGTAGACTGATTTTCAGAATGCAAGATGAAGCTTTTGTATAGTAGTTCCTTTGAAATGTGATCTTATTTGTATTTTAACTTATTAGGCACAATAAAAAAATGTTTGTGTATTATGCATGGATTGCAATTAATATAAAAATATGACACTTTTAGAGCATATGTATGTTGATTCCTGTTAGTATAAATCTTAAAAATATTTGAATATTTTGTCTTAAAAATATATATGGTTTAATTTGTCCTGAAGAACACAGGTACATGTTCCTATTATGAAAGGGATCAAAAGAAAACAATATTGTTCTTTCCTAGAAGTCAGAAATATCAGTCTTAAAAAATACATCAGCACGTTACACCTGGGGTGGCTTCCTTTCACTGTCTCTATGTGGATTTCAGAATTAGATTTAAAATACTGCTGCTCATCTTGGCTTGAACAGTTTAGCTCCTCGACTACATCAGTGAACTCTAAAACTACCTTATTTTTGCGTGTTGTTTTGTCCTCTTCAGACTGACTTTCTTTCATTTCTCAATACGAGACTCCAGACACTTGGGGACTGTACTTGCTGTTCTGTTGGCCCAAGACTGTGGAATGCTCTCTAACCCCATATAAGATCTTGCAAGTCCGTCTGTACTTTGAAACCCTATCTAATAACTAACTTCATATTCTAGTTTTTAATTGTTTTTAATTTCATTTTTATTTGTTTATACTGTACCTGTCTCATTTATATGATTGCTCAGCACTCTGGATGTATAATACTGTGAAAGGTGATATAAGGTGATATCATAGATTTGATGTGTTAAAACACCTCAAAGACATTTCAGTAGAATAAACTGGAAACTGCAACACAGATTTTCTTTTGTATCAAGGAGTTATTCCTGGAACGTGAATTTTTACTTATGCAGTAACATGATGGTAGAGAGTAACCTGTGCAAATGATTTTAATTTATTTTTGTAAATATAAAGGAGGTGTTTGTGTTATATTGTGTTTCAAGTCATTTTGAACTCCAGTCTATCTGTTCATTGGTGATGTAGTTTTATATAAACGCTTTTACTGTATGTTAAGGTCAAGAACTGGACTTCAGGCAATGAAAAACTCAAGTCATATCTGCTGTACACGTACTCATGTGACCGCCCACTGCGTCTAGTTCAGCACAATGTATTTCGCGTAGTCACGGCAGTTCATAGGGCTATTCATTTCTTCACCGATAATTAATAATAAATGGTAATTTACTGCACATAACAATAGCCAGTAGAAAAATGTACTGCATGATAGGAAATGTAGATACAGAACAATAACTTTGGAAAAGAGTAACCCTTTATAATCTACTTCTAGGAATCGTTCCACAATTCAGAACAATGACAGTGGATTACAAAGCCTAATCGTAAAGGAACCGAAACTATTTGAGCGGGCATTTCTATACACTTTACAAAGGCAGAACAGCAATATATAACAGCCCTATATGGCATAGAAATTATGATTTATATCACTATAAATAATCTATTCTTGAAACAATCTCCAAGATAAAAATGAAAAGTCACAGTTAACATGGGACTCTATTACTGTATAGTTTAAAATGAAATGCGGATTTATGTTTCCCAAATACCGTCGTCAGTGAGATCAGTGCTGTTCAGAAAGTTTTCCAACCACTCACACAGAACGTCTTCACAGAATAACCAAGAGGGGGTTATAGGAATTTCATAGAAATTGTAATATGTACGTCAATTTATTGCTACGACATACGAGAGCACTTTTTTCAATGTATAATTTCATAAACACCTTGTTGTATTCTAAAGTAATTTCGAAGACAAAGCAGTGTAATATTTCTGTAATGACTGCTATTATTCCGTTTAGGTTGTAAGGTCTGCTATTTTATTTTTGGATGGGTTCCTTCTACTTATATCATATATATTTTGTTAATCCATAAATAGCATATTTCTACTGTAAACTGTCACATCCAGCTGTTTGTCTGTCCCAACTAAACCGTGACAAATAAATCTACATCCTACTTTCGCATTGACATACACGCCCACGGGAGTTAATTTACAGAATTTGAAAAAAATATATTAAACGCATTATGGTCATAAGCTGTAGAAGGCAGCTTCTTGCGACTGGCCTCAAAATATAAATGGCCTCAAAATGTTTTAGAACTTTTTAAAAGCATCATGTAATAACGAAAGGTCTCGATAGTCAGTTTGTGAATCGAATCTGAAAGAGCCAACTTTCCTTTTGAGTATGAGAATGGTGCTAAGTGACTGTTATTCACTATCTCGTCTTCATTAAACGGTATACCACCTGAAGAGTCGGGTAAGGCATTTGTCTGTTTTCTACATCGGTTGTCTACAAAGCTCAAATAATATTTTTTTTTATTTGTGCAAGAAAATAAAAATTATGCGTATTTTTCACAAGCAAAACAAAAATTATTGAAATGCAATCCAGGATAAATTACTCACAGATTACGCGTTGCTGGGAAATGTTGTGGAGTGTTTTATTGTAGTTGTGTGCTGATTTACGTTATGGTATGAGATGCTCATTGATTTATTCATGAAAGCTAAACAAAAGTCTTCTAAATTGCTGAATATTTGGTTTTGCCGACGTAGTGTCTGTGATGGGGATCAAACTTGCCTGAGCTTTTTGTACTGTATGAAAAAAAAACATACTGTGCATGCGTAAACATTTTAGTAGAGATTGAAATAAGTAGATTAAACTACTGTTTATAATATATGTATACAGTAGAACCTGTCTAATCTACGATAGCATGCCCACACCACAACTATCATAATAATGATAAAGTTTTTACAGATTATGTTCTTGTGATAAAAATGACACTCTTTTCAGTCATCCGAATAGTATCTCCTTGAGTTAAATCTTTTTTCTATCAAAACCAAAAACCTGCACGTCACTTTCAAAATGATAATGCAGTTTTAAGTGCGTTGTCTCAGCTTTCAATTTAATCGATTTTTATTTTTTATGTTGTGTATTGTGTACCGTGCAGTGAGGATAGTGCTCTTATTTCTGAGTTTTTGGGATCTGGGATCAGTTCCAGAATGTGGTTATGGAATTGCCACCTGATATACTGTAATATGGTTGTAACAGTCTACTGATATCCATGTGGACATCACTGGGCCTAGTGACATGATAGGCATCTCTAATCTTGTAGTTTTGTTAGAGAATCACAACTCCTGTTGGAGCTCTTCCCTGCTAGGACTAAGGGACTTGCAGAGTGAAACAGAGAGAATGGCACTGACCAACACAACTTTTAGTCTGGATGTATGATTTGAAATAATTACATAATAAAAAGAGCTGCTCCCCTCTATCCATTTGAAATGACTATCTAATACAGCCCCAGGGAGAAACTTCATACAGAAGGTTTCCAACCAAACACAGGAACTACCGCCATGTCACCCTACCCAGAGACTGCCCTAAAATAACTGCAGATAACTAAAATCAAAATACATTTTAGCTCACCCTTAGTTTAGCACTTATCTAAGGTTTTCTGGTAACATCCTGTTAGATGCCTGAGCTTTTTGGTATGGTTTAGTAACCATCACTTTGGTGCTTACAGAATCATGATACAGAGACCCCAACCAATGGTGTCATATTATGGACTAGCAAAGTTCAATTTCCTTCTGTGTAAAAAGATTCCCTACATGCTTTATGGGATACATAATTTTCTGGAAGAAGCAGTGTGACAATTTACAGAATAAATATGTTTTTAATGGGAAAATTAAAAAATATGCACTAAAACTAGCAGACTAGCAACATTACAGGAAATTACAAAATTACAACAAAATTCCATTGTGCAGAAACATTTTTTTTGCTGATAAGAAGGCTAATATTTTTCTGAGTAACTACTTTCAGCTACAAAATGACAATAAAAGTAGTGACACGTTTTTTGTCTTTTGAAATACTTTCCTCAGTACACAAAGATTCACCAGTCTGAATCATGTTTATGAAGAATTTATTGTGTTTTAGTTAGTTATTGTGTTTTTGAGATTTCCAGTGCAGGATACTTCTAAATTCTTAAGAGGTTTACTAACAAAACCATCAGTAAACAGGTTTCTTTAGTCTCTGCAGTTCCAGTTCCCATTTTAATGATGTGGAATTCCCTTGTCTTTTTTGTCCTTGTTTTTGTTCCTCACCCAAAATATTCCAACACTGTACTATATATTTACTTCTTGTATACGGTGAAAAAAAAAATACACAAGAAAAACAGAAAATATAAAAAACCTAAAAAGTTAATTAAAGCCATTATGGATTAATTTCAAGCATTGTTGAAATATATTCACAATTATACTTTTACAAATCACTTTTTTACCTTTAAATTGCACGTTATATACTAATATCCATATATATTAAGAATATAAGGACAGTTACTGTCCAAATGAGAGCAGACCATTCAGCCCATGTAGCCCACTTGTAGTTAGTGGTTAATTGATCCAATGCTCTCATCCAGCTGCTTCTTGAAGGAAGCCAGGATAACAGCATGAATTGGTACCCTGTTCCATATAACCACAACTTTGTATAAAGAAGTGCCTACTCTTTTTTATATACACCCACATAGCTTTCAGTTATGTTCTTGGGTATCTTTTATCATTTACTATTTCTTCAGAAGTCCACTGCATTGACTGTCAGTGGCTTTGAGGACTTTGAATACAGTGCCTTGCGAAAGTATTCGGCCCCCTTGAACTTTTCAACCTTTTGCCACATTTCAGGCTTCAAACATAAAGATATACATTTTTTATTTTATGTGAAGAATCACCAACAAGTGGGACACAATTGTGAAGTGGAACGAAATCTATTGGATTTTTGAAATTTTTTTAACTAATAAAAAAATGAAAAGTGGGGCGTGCAAAATTATTTGGCCCCCTTGCGTTAATACTTTGTAGAGCCACCTTTTGCTGCGATTACAGCTGCAAGTCGCTTGGGGTATGTCTCTATCAGTTTTGCACATCGAGAGACTGAAATTCTTGCCCATTCTTCCTTGCAAAACAGCTCGAGCTCAGTGAGGTTGGATGGAGAGCGTTTGTGAACAGCAGTTTTCAGCTCTTTCCACAGATTCTCGATTGGATTCAGGTCTGGACTTTGACTTGGCCATTCAAACACCTGGATACGTTTATTTGTGAACCATTCCTTTGTAGATTTTGCTGTATGTTTGGGATCATTGTCTTGTTGGAAGATAAATCTCCGTCCCAGTTTCAGGTCTTTTGCAGACTCCAACAGGTTTTCATCCGGAATGGTCCTGTATTTGGCTGCATCCATCTTCCCCTCAATTTTAACCATCTTCCCTGTCCCTGCTGAAGAAAAGCAGGCCCAAACCATGATGCTGCCACCACCATGTTTGACAGTGGGGATGGTGTGTTGAGGGTGATGAGCTGTGTTGCTTTTACGCCAAACATATCGTTTTGCATTGTGGCCAAAAAGTTCGATTTTGGTTTCATCTGACCAGAGCACCTTCTTCCACATGTTTGGGGTGTCTCCCAGGTGGCTTGTGGCAAACTTTAGACGAGACTTTTTATGGATATCTTTGAGAAATGGCTTTCTTCTTGCCACTCTTCCATAAAGGCCAGATTTGTGCAGTGTAAGACTGATTGTTGTCCTATGGACAGACTCTCCCACCTCAGCTGTAGTTCTCTGCAGTTCATCCAGAGTGATCATGGGCCTCTTGGCTGCATCTCTGATCAGTCTTCTCCTTGTCTGAGCTGAAAGTTTAGAGGGACGGCCAGGTCTTGGTAGATTTGCAGTGGTCTGATACTCCTTCCATTTCAAGATGATCGCTTGCACAGTGCTCCTTGGGATGTTTGAAGCTTGGGAAATTTTTTTGTATCCAAAAACGGCTTTAAACTTCTCCACAACAGTATTACGGACCTGCCTGGTGTGTTCCTTGGTCTTCATGATGCTCTCTGCGCTTTCAACAGAACCTTGAGACTATCACAGAGCAGGTGCATTTATACAGAGACTTGATTACACACAGGTGGATTCTATTTATCACCATCAGTCATTTAGGACAACATTGGATCATTCAGAGATCCTCGCTGAACTTCTGGAGTGAGTTTGCTGCACTGAAAGTAAAGGGGCCGAATAATTTTGCACGCGCCACTTTTCATTTTTTTATTAGTTAAAAAAGTTTCAAAAATCCAATAGATTTCGTTCCACTTCGCAATTGTGTCCCACTTGTTGGTGATTCTTCACATAAAATAAAAAAATTATATCTTTATGTTTGAAGCCTGAAATGTGGCAAAAGGTTGAAAAGTTCAAGGGGGCCGAATACTTTCGCAAGGCACTGTATTTGCATCAGGGTCAATGTTAGTGTTCACAGTTCAGTGAGAAAATGGTTCAGACTGTTTGGCCTGTCAGTGTAAGTCCTGAAATTCTTCTGGTTCTTCTCCTTTGATTCCAGAGTGGCAATACTGTACAATTTGTGGTGTGTGGTGACCAAAATTGTGCACAATATTCTAAAAAATAAAATAAATAAATAAAAATAAAACTTAATTGACTATATAACCTAACATTTTGATAGCCTTTTTACTGTTTCTCCTCATTGTATAGAAGATGTAAATCATGTGTCAATATACTGTAAGCACCTAATTCTTTTTCATACGTTGCCTCTTCTAGTTCAGACGTATTTTATACATCTTCCGCCAGGTGTCTGCTCACTCTTAGAACTTCATTTGCTGGTTCTGTAATTTTTGCTGATCCTCCTAGTTTGGAATCAACTAGTTTAATAACTGTACAAGAACCTAACTCATTGATATAAATTAAGAGAAGCACCGGTCTTAGTTTAGATCCCTACATTTCCCTGAATCTTTTATGACAACCTTTATCAAAAGCCTTCTGAAAATCTAAATGCACCATATAATTTGCACTGTCTGTATGCATTACTGTTCATGCTTATTCTAAGAACTCCAGCACATTTGTTAGAGAAGTCGTGCTTTTTCTGAATCCATGTTGACTATTCCCCCTAAGTTATTGTTTCCATAGGTGAATCCTCTAGTTTAGCTCTGAAAATTGTTTCCATAAACTTACATGTAATATAACTCATGCTTATTGGTCAATAATTACTCATTTCAGTATTTTTGCCTTTCTTATGCATTAGCCTTTCACTACATTAGCTATTCTTCAGTCTGTCGGTACCTGAGTGTCTGTTGGAAGATTTGCATTAATAACTTCTGAATAATATCTCTCATTTCCTTGAGTAAATTTGCTAATATATCATCAGGCCCTGATGATGTATTAGTTTTGAGTGCTTCTAGTACCCAAAATACATCTTTTCCATGTTTATATTATTTAATATAGATTTTGCTCCT